AGTTGGTCCTGAAAAGGCATTTGACAAAGTTCAACATACCTTTATGATAAAAATCTTGGAGAGGTTAGGAATAGATGGTGCATGCCTCAAATAATAAAGGCTATATGCAACAAACCTAAAACCAACATTATATTAAATGGAGATGCACTGAGAGCATATCATCTAAAATCAGGAACGAGACAAAAATGCCCACTCTCTTATTTAATATAGTGTTTGAAGTCTTAACTATAGCAATTAGATAAGGGAAAAGCAGAAAGGGGATAAAAATAGGAAAAGAAATCAAACTATTTTGATTTGCAAATGATATGATTCTGTTCTTAAAAGACCCTATAGAATCTACTAGAAAACTCCCAGATCTAGTAAATGCTTACAACCAGAATGACAGAATCAATATTGTGAAAATAACTATACTACCCAAATTAATCTACAGATTTAATGCAATATATTATCAAAATTCTAGTGTCATATTTTATAGAACTAGAAAAAATAATTCAAGAATCCATATGGAATCACTAAAGCCTATGAATAGGTCTTCCAGAGGTTCTAGGTTCTATTCCCAGCATCCATGCTGTGGCTAACAAGCATCCATAAGTCTAGTCCAGGGGATCTGAAGCCTTCTTCTGGCCTTGGAGGCTTTGCACAGCATGGTTGCACTTACATACATGCAGGTAAAACACTCATACATAAAATAAAAATAAATTTAAAAAGGTAAAGATATTGGAACAAGCAATGATCTTCTGTATAAGTCTTCAATACCTCAGGAAACAAAACCAAGTATTGATAAATAGGATTACATTGAATGAAAAAACTCCACAGCAGAGGAAATAGCCAACACAGGAAACAATCTATAGGATAGGAGAATATCATTACTAGCTATTGATCTGAAAGGATTAATAACCAGAATATGTAAATAACTCAAACAACTTAAGAAAAAATTCGAATAAAACATGTGTAATTATCTAGGCGTGGTGGTGCATGCCTTTGGTCCTACAGGGAGAGGGAGACCCTGTCTCCCCACCGCAAAAAAAACCCCAAACATTTGTAATTGACCTGAGTAGATACTTCTCAAAAGAGGAAAAAATAGAGCTGGAGAGATGGCTCAGCAGTTAAGAACACTTGCTGTTCTTCCAGAGGACCCGGGTTAGATTCCCAGCACATGGAGGCTAACAACTGTCTGTAACTCCAGTTTCAGGGGCTATGACATCTCCTTCTGGCCTCTGTGGGCATTATATGCATGTGGTACACTTACATGCAGGCTGAACACTCAATACACATTAAAAAAAAACCCAAACCCTAAATAAGTTTTTTAATAAAAAAGAAAAAAAGAGGAAGAAAATCAAAATTACATTGAGATAATATCTTACCTCAGTTTACTGATCATAAAACCCTGTAGAAATAACAAACATTCCTGAGGGTGTGGAAAAAAAGGAATCCTGATACACTGTTAGTGAGAATGTAAATTACTACGGTTACTGTAGCAAATAGTATAGGGGTTCCTTAACAAAATGAAAAATAGAACTATAATATCATCCAGCGACAGTGTTTACCTGGTTAGATATCCAAAGAAATGCCACCAGCAAATGAAAGAGTAATCTCTATACTCATGTTTACTGAAGCACTATTCACAATATTCAAATTTTGGAATCAGCTTAGGAACCTGTTGACTGATGTGTGGATAAAGAATATAGTCCAAGCTGGGTGTCGTGGTACATATCTTTAATTTCAGCACTTGGGAGGCAGAAGCAGGTGGATCTCTATGAAACTGAGGCCAACCTGGTCTATATAGTGAGTTCCAGGCTGACTGGGGCTACAAATAAGTTGGGGGAGATGAACTCAATGTGTTTGCAAATGTTGAGATAGGATCTCACTATGTAGCCCAGGATGACACTGAACTCACAGTGATCTGCCTGCCTCTGCCTCCCAAGTGCTAAGATAAAATTATAAAAATAAAATTATAAATAATAATATATATTATTAAATACAAAAGGTCTAAACTTATT